CTCCTGGTTATTTGTTTTCCACGAGTCACTATTGAAATACTGGAGGACTGTCATCTCTGTACAGTGTCAGCTATTCCCTGTACATTCCAATGGCATTTCTTGACGGTAAAAAAGAAAACATGTAGAAAGACTCTAGAAATGGATGATGCCATGCTTGTGTGTGCCAAAGTCATCATTCCCTAAACCCATTAGAGACAGTGGGGATTATATTAAAGCAAATCTGCTGCAGGATTGCATTATATAGTATTAGTTTTACCACTTTTGCTGGTTACCTCTGTTTTGACTCCAACATGTTATTTTACAAAGCATGTGGAAAAGACACTGAAATCCAGACTGCTAATTTCAAGTGATTTATCATTCTTGGGTGGAGTACATAAAGGCCCTAGAATCCTTTAGCATTCAGAGAAGTAAACTGTGAAGGATAATAAAACAATCCTTTCCTCCTGTAGCGACAGGGTAGACTAGGTTGTTCGGTTGGGGGGGGGGATTGTTACAGTTTGCAGTGTTCGGCTCAGCCCCTGGTCCTCTGCGTGCTGGTGCTGTTAGCCAGGCTCCTGTAAAAGACGAACTAGGAGAGTGGAAGGCGGAATGAGTAGCTTAATGATACATTCGTGTTGTCGTGTTGTGAAATGCACACAAAACATTCTGAGACATAGAACTATTTGTGGAGGTGGAAAACGAGGAACGTGATCATCAGAAAATTCAATCAACAGACACAGTGTGCTAAAAGTCCAAGGTCCACTGAAACTGACAACAGGGTAGATTTAGAGAGGAAATGGGGAGGAAATTAACCTGTTAAAACAAGGCAGGAAGAAGTATTTGTTTCCACATGGCTCTAAGGATAACCTAATGTCACCATCCTCATCCCTCTGCTCCAGCCATCCTCATCCCTCTGCTCCAACCCTTTCGTATTTTAGTTTATTGTGTGCACCTGCCCCCTGTTCTGTTATTATTCAAGCCTGGTGCTCCCGCTATTCCTGGCTCAGCATTGGGAGATGGACACCCGGAAGCCCTCCTACCAGGAGAGGGTCCAGGAGAGACCTCACGTCATCCTGACCGTCTGAGACCGGGGCTCGGAGCGCCGGGCCTTGTTACCTTGGTTTCAACTCCCTGTTCCTGTTCCGGATCCCGTTCCAGATTTTTAACCTTCGTCTGTCTTGGATGGTTGTCCCGGTACCTGGACCCTGGGCTGCGCCCTGGATTCCCCCTTGGACTGTTTGGACTTGTTTGCCTGCGCCACGCCCCCCGAGCGCTGGTCCACCGTAGTCATGCCCCCCTGTCTGTCATCCCGTCCCGATCCTCAGCGTCTTTTCCCTTTTGTCCTTCTCCAGTTACTTCCGGATTATACCGTCTGCATAGTGTTACGATCGTTACTCCTCCTCTTAAGGGCGCTCCAGCCCTTCCTCGTTCTGTCCTATTCCCCACACCTGTTCCTTTAGTTTCACCTTTAAAGCCAGATGCAGGCGTTTGCCCAGTGCTTCTCATTGAATCCCGTTTCGTGAGAGCCCGGGGTCCTGTTATGTTATGGTTTTAGTTTCCTGTTCCTGTTCCTGTTCCTGATTCCTTGTTCCGCCGGTCCCGACCCGGTTCTGGTTTTTAATTACTTTGGATGGATACCCTGGTCTTGGACTTTGCCTCCCATTTTGGATTTCCCTTTTGGATTTATGCTTGGATT